TCTTGTTCCCTTTTACAGATCCGTTCCGTCATCTTCGGGGTTCAGGTTGAAGAAATGAAAGACGTCAAAGAAGAAGAAGAGACGTTGAGTCATTGTGTGTCTCCTACAGATGGATCCAGTAAGAGGAACCCACCAGAGAGATGTCCCCGTCCTCTGTATTCCCGGGATCCCACCCAGGAAGATCTCACCGTCCCCCACCATGGCCAGGTAGATGGGACTCGGCGTGTAAATATAAAGATGTATTCTGAGCTATGAGGAGACATTCCCCGATGTAATCTCTTCCCGGTCACATATCTGTTCCGTCATCTTCGGGGTTTAGGATGAAGAACTGGAAGACATCAGAGTTGAGGTAAAAGTAGAAGAAGAAGAGACGTTGGTGGGAGGAGCTCAGCAGTCTACGGAGGAGGGGGAGGTGATGATGAAGAGTGAACAGGAGGAATCTTCTCTACATACGGACACAAGTAAGTCATAAGAACTTCAATTCAATAAAGAATTAGAAATCTTTACTGTTCATAGAAGACTGTCGTCGATATATCTCCACCACCATCTAATGTTCCCAATGAGGTGAAGGTATGAGTGCGTCCAATGATGAGGAAGGATAGATACGGCCCCTGAAGGATAGATACGGCCCCTGAAGGATAGATACGGCCCCTGAAGGATAGATACGGCCCCTGAAGGATAGATACGACCCCTGAAGGATAGATATGACCCCTGAAGGATAGATACGGCCCCTGAAGGATAGATACGGCCCCTGAAGGATAGATACGACCTCTGAAGGATAGATACGACCCCTGAAGGATATGGATGACCCCTGAAGGATATGGATGACCCCTGAAGGATAGATACAGCCCCTGAAGGATAGATATGACCCCCTGAAGGATAGATATTACCCCCTGAAGGATAGATACGGCCCCTGAAGGATATGGATGACCCCTGAAGGATAGATACTGCCCCTGAAGGATAGATACGACCCCCTGAAGGATAGATACGGCCCCTGAAGGATAGATACGGCCCCTGAAGGATAGCTACGACTCCTGAAGGATAGATACGGCCCCTGAAGGATAGCTACGACTCCTGAAGGATAGATACGGCCCCTGAAGGATAGCTACGACTCCTGAAGGATAGATACGGCCCCTGAAGGATAGCTACGACTCCTGAAGGATAGATACGGCCCCTGAAGGATAGCTACGACTCCTGAAGGATAGATACGGCCCCTGAAGGATAGCTACGACTCCTGAAGGATAGATACGGCCCCTGAAGGATAGCTACGACTCCTGAAGGATAGATACGGCCCCTGAAGGATAGCTACGACTCCTGAAGGATAGATACGGCCCCTGAAGGATAGCTACGACTCCTGAAGGATAGATACGGCCCCTGAAGGATAGCTACGACTCCTGAAGGATAGATACGGCCCCTGAAGGATAGCTACGACTCCTGAAGGATAGATACGGCCCCTGAAGGATAGCTACGACTCCTGAAGGATAGATACGGCCCCTGAAGGATAGCTACGACTCCTGAAGGATAGATACGGCCCCTGAAGGATAGCTACGACTCCTGAAGGATAGATACGGCCCCTGAAGGATAGCTACGACTCCTGAAGGATAGATACGGCCCCTGAAGGATAGCTACGACTCCTGAAGGATAGATACGGCCCCTGAAGGATAGCTACGACTCCTGAAGGATAGATACGGCCCCTGAAGGATAGCTACGACTCCTGAAGGATAGATACGGCCCCTGAAGGATAGCTACGACTCCTGAAGGATAGATACGGCCCCTGAAGGATAGCTACGACTCCTGAAGGATAGATACGGCCCCTGAAGGATAGCTACGACTCCTGAAGGATAGATACGGCCCCTGAAGGATAGCTACGACTCCTGAAGGATAGATACGGCCCCTGAAGGATAGCTACGACTCCTGAAGGATAGATACGGCCCCTGAAGGATAGCTACGACTCCTGAAGGATAGATACGGCCCCTGAAGGATAGCTACGACTCCTGAAGGATAGATACGGCCCCTGAAGGATAGCTACGACTCCTGAAGGATAGATACGGCCCCTGAAGGATAGCTACGACTCCTGAAGGATAGATACGGCCCCTGAAGGATAGCTACGACTCCTGAAGGATAGATACGGCCCCTGAAGGATAGCTACGACTCCTGAAGGATAGATACGGCCCCTGAAGGATAGCTACGACTCCTGAAGGATAGATACGGCCCCTGAAGGATAGCTACGACTCCTGAAGGATAGATACGGCCCCTGAAGGATAGCTACGACTCCTGAAGGATAGATACGGCCCCTGAAGGATAGCTACGACTCCTGAAGGATAGATACGGCCCCTGAAGGATAGCTACGACTCCTGAAGGATAGATACGGCCCCTGAAGGATAGCTACGACTCCTGAAGGATAGATACGGCCCCTGAAGGATAGCTACGACTCCTGAAGGATAGATACGGCCCCTGAAGGATAGCTACGACTCCTGAAGGATAGATACGGCCCCTGAAGGATAGCTACGACTCCTGAAGGATAGATACGGCCCCTGAAGGATAGCTACGACTCCTGAAGGATAGATACGGCCCCTGAAGGATAGCTACGACTCCTGAAGGATAGATACGGCCCCTGAAGGATAGCTACGACTCCTGAAGGATAGATACGGCCCCTGAAGGATAGCTACGACTCCTGAAGGATAGATACGGCCCCTGAAGGATAGCTACGACTCCTGAAGGATAGATACGGCCCCTGAAGGATAGCTACGACTCCTGAAGGATAGATACGGCCCCTGAAGGATAGCTACGACTCCTGAAGGATAGATACGGCCCCTGAAGGATAGCTACGACTCCTGAAGGATAGATACGGCCCCTGAAGGATAGCTACGACTCCTGAAGGATAGATACGGCCCCTGAAGGATAGCTACGACTCCTGAAGGATAGATACGGCCCCTGAAGGATAGCTACGACTCCTGAAGGATAGATACGGCCCCTGAAGGATAGCTACGACTCCTGAAGGATAGATACGGCCCCTGAAGGATAGCTACGACTCCTGAAGGATAGATACGGCCCCTGAAGGATAGCTACGACTCCTGAAGGATAGATACGGCCCCTGAAGGATAGCTACGACTCCTGAAGGATAGATACGGCCCCTGAAGGATAGCTACGACTCCTGAAGGATAGATACGGCCCCTGAAGGATAGCTACGACTCCTGAAGGATAGATACGGCCCCTGAAGGATAGCTACGACTCCTGAAGGATAGATACGGCCCCTGAAGGATAGCTACGACTCCTGAAGGATAGATACGGCCCCTGAAGGATAGCTACGACTCCTGAAGGATAGATACGGCCCCTGAAGGATAGCTACGACTCCTGAAGGATAGATACGGCCCCTGAAGGATAGCTACGACTCCTGAAGGATAGATACGGCCCCTGAAGGATAGCTACGACTCCTGAAGGATAGATACGGCCCCTGAAGGATAGCTACGACTCCTGAAGGATAGATACGGCCCCTGAAGGATAGCTACGACTCCTGAAGGATAGATACGGCCCCTGAAGGATAGCTACGACTCCTGAAGGATAGATACGGCCCCTGAAGGATAGCTACGACTCCTGAAGGATAGATACGGCCCCTGAAGGATAGCTACGACTCCTGAAGGATAGATACGGCCCCTGAAGGATAGCTACGACTCCTGAAGGATAGATACGGCCCCTGAAGGATAGCTACGACTCCTGAAGGATAGATACGGCCCCTGAAGGATAGCTACGACTCCTGAAGGATAGATACGGCCCCTGAAGGATAGCTACGACTCCTGAAGGATAGATACGGCCCCTGAAGGATAGCTACGACTCCTGAAGGATAGATACGGCCCCTGAAGGATAGCTACGACTCCTGAAGGATAGATACGGCCCCTGAAGGATAGCTACGACTCCTGAAGGATAGATACGGCCCCTGAAGGATAGCTACGACTCCTGAAGGATAGATACGGCCCCTGAAGGATAGCTACGACTCCTGAAGGATAGATACGGCCCCTGAAGGATAGATGCGACCCTGAAAGGATAGATACGACCCCTGAAGGATAGATACGGCCCCTGAAGGATATGGATGACCCCTGAAGGATAGATACGGCCCCTGAAGGATAGCTACGACTCCTGAAGGATAGATACGGCCCCTGAAGGATAGGTACGGCCCCTGAAGGATAGATACGGCACCTGAAGTATAGATACGACCCCTGAAGGATAGATACGGCCCCTGAAGGATAGATACGGCACCTGAAGGATAGATACGGCCCCTGAAGGATAGATACGGCCCCTGAAGGATAGGTACGGCCCCTGAAGGATAGATACGGCACCTGAAGTATAGATACGACCCCTGAAGGATAGATACGGCCCCTGAAGGATAGATACGACCCCTGAAGGATAGATACGGCCCCTGAAGGATAGATACGGCCCCTGAAGGATAGATACGGCCCCTGAAGGATAGATACGACCCCTGAAGGATAGATACGACCCCTGAAGGATAGATACGACCCCTGAAGGATAGATACGGCTCCTGAGGGATAGATATGACCCCCTGAAGGATAGATTCGGCCCCTGAAGTATAGATTCGGCCCCTGAAGGATAGATACGGCCCCTGAAGGATAGATACGGCCCCTGAAGGATAGATATGACCCCTGAAGGATAGATATGACCCCTGAAGGGAAGACGGATACAAATATAACATGTACTCATCATTACTCTCTCACAGATGTACAGAAGTGGAATATAAAGACATCGGAGGGACGTCTTATTATATCTCCAGACGGTGAAGCAGAAGACGGCGACATTGCGCAACATTCTCCCAAAGTCAATTCTTCCCGTTCAGAGAAGATCGATGGATCCGTCCAATCCTGAGGAACCTTCTGATCAATCGCGTCACATGACCTCAGATGTCCATCAAGATCCTCACAGTGCGGAGAGATCGACTGATCCGCCTAATCCTGAGGAACCTTCTGTAAGCCACGAAGGAGATCACACAGGAGAGAGTTCATTGTCATGTCCAGAGTGCGGGAAATCTTTCAAGCAGAGAAGATCACTTCTCCTGCACCAGAGAATCCACACAGTTTTGTACCCATTTTTATGTTCGGAGTGTGGAAAATGTTTCACTGACAAAAGAAATCTTATTGAACACCAGAGCATTCACACAGGTGAGCGCCCCTATTCGTGTCCAGAGTGCGGGAAATTTTTCAAGCAGAAAACGCACCTTCTGCACCACCAGAAAATCCACACAGGTGAGCGGCCATATGCATGTTCGGAGTGCGAGAAACGCTTCTCCAAGAAAGGAAATCTTCGAAAGCACCAGAGACTTCACACGGGTGATCGCCCCCATTCATGCACAGAGTGCGGAAAAGGTTTCACTGAGAAAGGCAAACTTCTTGAACACCACCGAATTCACACGGGGGAGCGCCCCTTTTTGTGTACAGAGTGCGGAAAAAGTTTCGCTCAGAAGGGAAAACTTCTTCAACACCACAGAATTCACACGGGTGAGCGCCCCTATTCGTGTTTGGAGTGTGGGAAATGTTTTATCAGCAGAGGATGTCTTCGTAACCACCAAAGAATTCACACGGGTGAGCTTCCTCATTTATGTTCAGAGTGCGGAAAATCTTTCCGTCTGAAAGATAGCTTTATCAAACACAAGAGGATTCACACGGGCGAGCGCCCGTATTCATGTTCAGAGTGTGGGAAATGTTTCACAAAGAAAGCTACCCTTGTTAAACACCAAAGAACTCACGCCTGTGAGAATCTCTATTCCTGTTTAGAGTGTGGAAAAGGTTTCACTGAGAGAAACAAACTCCTTGCACACCAGAAAGATCACAAAGCTCAGTGTCCATTTTTATGTCCAGAATGTGGAAAATCTTTCACTCACAAATTAAAATTGATTGCACACCAGAGAATTCACAGCGCTGAGCGTCCTTATTCATGTTCAGAGTGCGGGAAATGTTTCTTGGAGAGAGGAAAACTCCTTCAGCACCAGAGGGTTCACACAGGGGAGCGTCCCTATTCATGTTCAGAGTGTAGCAAAACTTTTATCAAAATAGGAGATCTTCATCGACACCAGAAAATCCACTCGGGCGAGCGTCCTTATTCGTGTTCAGAGTGCGGGAAGAGTTTCTTCGAGAGAGGAAAACTTCACCAGCACCAGAAGATTCACACGTGCGAGCGTCCCTATTCTTGCTCAGTGTGTGGCAAAAGTTTCATTCAGAAAGGAGATCTTCATCGACACCAAAAGATTCACACGGGCGAGCGTCCTTACTCGTGTTCAGAGTGCGGGAAAGGTTTCATTCAGAAAGGAGACCTCGTTCACCACATGAGAACACACACCAAGGAGCGCCCTCGCTCTCTTCAAAGTGCGGGAAACGTTTTACAGCTAAAAGCCGAAGCGGAGGAAACTGACTTGCTGATTCTTTTGACGAATGTCCAATGCCTTGTTACAGGTGGAAATGTTTAGTCCAAAAAGGACAACTGGAGGATAAAGAATTTGTTTGTAAAGGGGGTTCATCCCGGGGACAAGTGATCATGAGGTATATGGGTGGAGCTTGATAGGCCGAGTCGTCTGTTGGCTTCTTCATTTCGTGGAGGCTCCAATAGTAGGGTATGCCTGTTACAGTCTCTGCTCCCCCCCCACCCTCTGTGACATCCCCATACCTTTCTATAATATAACAATCCGACACGGAGGGGGGGGAGGGGTGTCCCCTCGGGGGAGGGGTGTCCCCTCATAAGTAATGTGTGTAGTAATAAAAGGTGTATACATATATATATATATTATGTGTGTTGGGAAAAGAAAGATGTAGAATGTATCAGGTGACCCCGGTTCTGTGCGGAGTGTTTATTGGATCCCAGAACCAGATGAATAGAACACAGGAGAGTATATACCGTATACTAATAGAAGCCGTGCGAGTCCCTTTCTATGTGTATCTAGACCTCAAAGACTCCATAAGGATACAGACTCCGCCCACCCGCCACATATGTCCAATCTAGATCTGCTCCTACGTGACCCCCTCTTCATGTCTCTGACCCCTCCCCCGATAATTGTTGACCTCGGCCTACATACTGCCATTGGCTAACACTGAAAGGATTTCTGATTGGCTGCTCTGATGTCACATCTAGTTGTGTGCAGGTGACACCACCCCGAAAACAGGTCTTCCCACCGGCCCAACCGGTCAGGAGGTCGGGAAGTTCCCCACCATAAAGACCTGGTTAGTATAAGACTGAAGTGCGTCACCTTCAACACCCCAAATCTATCCTGTAGACACCTCCATCATCCTCTCCACCAATACGGATCCGGGAAGTCAGAGATACAACCCCGGGAACCATTGTAACCTCCGCCAGCCTCAGATTCTCCGAGGGGAGGAGACACCCCAAATGTCAGCAGAGAAGCGGGACGGCCGTCACAGAATACAGGAAAGTGTTTCACTGTCGACAGTCCACAGAAATAATAATAAGAAAACAGTGTGTGACCCCCCCCCCCAGGGCCTATTCGGCCTGC